TCACTTACGGAAAATATCTACCCTGTGATAAAGAGCTATCGTAACACAATAGAAGGCCGCCACAATAAGAAACAAGGAAACCCAGTTATGATGCTGTATCTTTAGCAATAAACGGTAGAGATGAGAAGAGGCTCTGAATTGTTCTTGATGATGCAGGAAAATCTTTATAATTTGTGACAAAACACAACTGCTTATCTAGAAAAGTTGGTCAAACGCACCCTTATGTGAAAAACACGCTGCTCTATAGAAATCACACACTATAAAAAATAAACTGGGTCACCAGTGAGTAAAATCGTCTCAGTAGGTAAAACGGATCCATTTAGATGAGTCACGCCTCACTAGGTCTCCTATTGGGTCGAATTCTATTGAGCTATTTTTAGTGCGTACTCTTTTCTCAGTGGGTAACAAAAAAGGCAAGTACGGTCTTTTCTTTTTCAAATTGTGGTAAAATTAAAGAACTAAAACGTAAGACAAACTAATAAACTTGGCGCGTATTTACTCCCTTATAGATGACATTGCAAAAAAAAGTGGAAGACGGATTAATGACTCGCGTTTATTAATTTTCTGGCGAAAATGGTTGCCATCAAACTTAAAACCTTTTTTATAAATTTGATTGTATGATACTTTAGTTCAATTTAATTACAGGATAGGGTAAGGGACGCTGCCTAAAACTAAATTCAGAAAAAGGCTGTGCTCTGCCGTAGCATTCGAAAAGCCTACTTCCCTCCCTTGGGTGGTGATGTGTGAGTGGTAGAATATTGTACATTTTTTTGCCTTTACCTTTTCCCAATTTCGAAAAGTAAGACTTTCGTAAGAATATATGCACTCTATCTCTCTATGTTTTACATCTTCTTCCCTTCTTCTTTTGGATGAGATAGTGTATTCACGGTTGTTTAACAGTCAGTCTGCACTAAATGCTAAATATTCTCACCCTTTTAGCGCTTTGTTTATTTCTTTGCTTCTTTTCAATATTTCAGAATAAATGTCTAAAATTAAGTTTAGGTTCAAAATCAGTATGTTAAAAAATCTGCACACGGTTATTTTCAGCACAAAATAAGCAAACGAAGAAGAGCAAAAAAAAAGTAGCTAAAAATGAGGTTTGAACTTTCGTCTTTCTGTGTTCCAAACACTACTACTTGGCTGAATCAGTCGTCTCACCGGGTCATCTATGTAACTCAGAGACAGGCTGCCACTGGGTCGCAGATATCGTATGATAATAAGAAAGCGAGAAAACCTAATTATAATGCTGTATCTTCAACAGCTGATGGAAATATGAGACTCTGAATTGTCCGCGATGACGCAGGAAAATCTTTATAATTTGTTTTAGCATATGTTTTACATTCTTCAACACTCATTTTCAATTCTGGATCTTTATAATCGTAAACAATAACACTTAACGATGGAAAATTAAATTTTAATAATGCTT